GAAGATTATGTGCATTTTCCTTGAATATTTAGACATTCCGAAAACGCGTAGCAAAAAGACATGCAAGCCTTTTGCAAATACTTACCTTCCATTTATTCACTTCGTTGAATTTCATCACTGGAAATAAAAGGGTTTTTTTTTTTTTTTTTTTTTTTTTTTTTTTTTTTTTTTTAAGTCCAAAAGGGCTTTGTTCCTGAAGGACTATTATATTCGTTTTTCGATTTTGCGTTGAATCACTATAAATGTCCGTTTCACTTTTTGCAAATTGTTGCCATCAAATGTTAGAGTCCTGCATTAAATTTGAAAAAATGAAATAATGAAAAATCTGCATAAATGTATGTATATTTCTCGCATTGTGATAAAACAACGGTACATAGAGCCATCGAATTTTGAATGAACGTAATCCTACCCTACGAATATGGGCATGTGGAAGCCCAAATTTGAAATTTGGAATTTGTTTTATTAGCGATTTCCTATTTTGTAAAAATTTAACGAATTTTTGAGTAACAAACTCAGCGGTTTGAAAGCGAGCAATGGCAACAATCTACGGGAAAAAAAAAAAAAAAAAAAAAAAAAAAAAAAAAAAAAAACCTTTTTATCTCCAGCGCCCGGATATGTGTAGCGGAAATTCTAAAGATAGGCTCATTTTAAAATTATTTTGCGACATTGCTATTGAACTGAAATTTATGGTTTAAGTGCGAAGAACATTATATTTAATAAATAAAGGTAACACACAAAACGTTAAAAAAAAACGGCCCTTTGGACGTAATTTAAAATCTGAAACCTTTCAGATTTTTATTCCCTGTGGGTGGTACCTCTGCTTTTTTCTGGTGTTTCCAGCGTTAATTTACACCTGATTTTTCGCGATTACCTTTCAGGTGTAAGCATACCAGTGATGAGCTATGAAGTCGCTGAACACTGGTAATTTGACTAATTTGACTTGGGTTCTATTCCAGGCTGTTGTATGGGCGTTTCTGTGTTTTTTTCCATGTGTAGCGTGGATAGAAGAAAGTCTTCCTTAGAACGCCCTCCACGAAAACATCCCTTCCCTTATGCAGATGGCCTTAGTGTGCTTTGGTGTAGTTAAACTAAATCAAGCTTTTCAGATGAGTTTTCCTGCTTGCTTTTATTCTCCCGCTGTTCACGTAGAGCCAATTCTCCCTAAACTCTTCGCCTTTGTAGTTTCACATAGTGGAGTGTTTTCGTACTTCCACGTCTACATAGTTTGACACCGAACTGTTATCCTCAATTATGTCAAAAGTCCTGCGATGCATTTTATTTATCGCAAAAGTCGCAGTTAGGTCGCTAAATATGTTTTTAAAGTCATAAATAATTTCTAATTAAATAGTAACCAAACACCTGATGAATGATTAATGAATACTTGATTGATTATTGATGAATTAATTTGTTCCGTAAAATTGAATGAATGTAAAAAAAAAAAAAAAAAAAAAAATGACGTACCAATTTTTATTCATAATTCATAAAACTTTAATTGAAAATTTTTTAAGATTTCGCATGTCATATAATTATTCTAATAAGATTATAAGAAGTTTTATATTAATTTTAAAACACCAGCATTTTTTTCAAAATTTACCTGAATTTATAAAAATGATAATACAATATAGAAATCGAATAAAAGTTAATAACGCAAATCATAATAAATGCACAGGCAAATAAGATATCAGGATTTAATCAGCATATCTAAATTTCGAGATGCAGAATGCAGCTTTAGTCTTAAATTAAATTAAGAAACATCAACAGATCATTCAAGAAATTTTATAATTTTAATCAGTTATTGAAAGTTAAACCTGACTTTAAAAAATTACTGAAAAACATTTTTGCATTATAATTAGTTTAGGAATTGCAGATAGTTGGAAAAATTTGCGTAAAAAGCATGTCACAACTTTTACGCTATTTCAAGAAAATAATATACTTATTTTTAATAGCAATGTTTAGGGCTGAATTAATAACTTTTAACCTTCATGTGGGAGTATAGAAATAATATTGGTTTTTAGCTCGTATTGTTAACATTGATATTTAGAATGCACCAAAAATGTGGCAAAAAATAGAGCTTGCGTCTTTAAAGTGCAATACTGCATTTCAAATATTTCTGTCATATGTTATCAACGATTAGCTAAATCTGATATTAAATGCTGAAGTGCTTGCTATTTCAAGCCACGACACGTACGAAGCTTCACACAAAATCCATAGTGTTTTACTAAGTGTTTATTAATTTATACCGAATTTGACCATTAAACCAGCTTTTCGCTGCCAGCCTATTTCTGCATTTTATGGTTAAATATCGAAATTAATTCCTTTTTTATGTTTGCACAGATGAGTTCCTTACTCCTCAATCTAGTGGTAGCTAAATTATTCGTTAAACTATTCAGGAAGGATTTGTCTAAAAGCTATAGTTATGTTAAATGAAACTGTATAGTGAACAGTTTACCGATTTAATAATTATCGTAGGTTTCTATAGCGTTGTCGATAACTGAGTAGATATATTTCAAACGTAGATTTAAAATAAGAATTTCACTTATCATTCCTATAATCATTCGTTGTGCATATCTGAAATTTTATAACTCACGTCCAGAAATTCTTCAAATAAATGGATAAAATGAAAGTAAAACCAAACGTACGAAAAGAATTGAATAAAAAGAAAAAATACATTTGAATGAAGAAGAAATGTAACTTCGTAGAGCAAAACTGTATTAAATATAGCTAAAACGAAAACCTGAAACTGAAATAGGAAGTAATGACAATTTTTTTCTCAAATTAATAGCCATGGATCAGTCTTGTCCAACGCACGGCCTTCCAAACGCGTTTTGATAAGATCGTATTACAGAGACGTTAGGTTATTTCGAAGCAGGAGAGATGAAAAATGAGCAATGCCCTTGTCGGGACTCGGACTACGGACCTCTCGAATACGCGTCGAAGGTGCTGACCAATACACCACGATGGCAAGCTAAGAAGGCGGGAGAAATACCTTATATATTCCCCCTTTTAAAGGGCGACTGGAGATTAGGAGACCCAATCGCCAAATCCTGGTGGTGGAGAATCGTCACCCACCACCTTTTTTAGTTCGGGCGCCACTGTAAAGACATTAGGTTATTTCGAGGCAGGAGAGATGAAAAATGAGCAATGCCCTCGCCGGGACTCTAACCACAGATCTCTCGAATACGCATCGAGCGTGCTGACCACTACACCACGAAGGCATGCTAAGAAGGCGGGAGTAATACCTTTTAGTATAACCGACGAATGAACGACATAATGAATGCATGCGATGCTATACTAGAAAATGGGAACTGGCTGGATAATTTTTTACTATATTTGAGGCTATTTATGCTATATTTATATGTTGTATATGTTTTTATGTATATCAAAGTTATTGCAATGTAAATCAAGCAAATTTTGAACCAGATGATAAGATAACAATATTATGTAGTATATTTATGTAACATTATTAATATAACAATGATAAATATAAATCTGCGTGGTGATATTTCACAGTTTCAGTAAAGCACCCGAACTAAAGGATAGGATACCAAACGAACGCTGGGGAGGGTGGCAGGGCCGCATATAATCAAACTGTACACTGCTAAGATAACCCCTCGAAATCAGCCAGTGAGAGTCAAAGTATATGTAGATTGTAACTCCGTCCACTATGATAATGTTACAAGGCTAACAATTTGTTTACATGCTATGAAATTGTCATGATTTGCTTGCTAGTGCATATTTCTATACATTTTACGATAATGTTTAATATGAAATATAAATGTAAAAGTCAATAATACGTTTTAAGAAGTGCTTTAAAATAGAATAAAATAAATAAGGTTGAGAATTTTTGCTAATACCAATACATTCTTATAAGACGCATGAAAGAGAATGCAAATATCAAGTGATAAATACTGGCTACTAATCGGGAATTATGTGATCGCGTTTACACTCCGGCTCACATCAAAAATGCGTTAAATCTTTTTTTTTTTTCAACATATGTGACACATATAATACATTAAATATACAGAGACTTGTAATGGAAATTCTGTCTACTGAAATTTTTGTGAATTTCCCTTTAAACTTGATGTGAAAATGAGTTAACTAAGCAGGAAAATTTAACTCTAAGCTGTTGTTTATTTCTGTTAGTTTAACTCTAAGCTGTTGCTTATTACAAGCTTTCCACAGCTGTAGAAGGCGAATAGCCTCAACTTTCTCTATTAAAACAGAAAAGTATAAAATTGCAGACGCGAAGAGCTTACGGCTCTTCGCGTGTTCGGCTCTTCGCGTGTTATGCGATTAGATTAGAGTATTAAAAAAACATATCTTTTCCTCTTCATATTAAGATCTTAATGTCGTGTACCTCCTAAGTCTTAGACAATAAAATTTAACGCACCATTATCCGCGCTACCACTGAGCATACCAGTATACTTAAAATTGCAATTCTGAAATTATACATATGTAACCCTGTATATATATTATTCATGTGGGGTTTATAGAATATCATTCACTTTTGTGTTATTTTAGGTTTTTATGTGTTACTTTAAATCATTTGATGTGTAAATCTTAGACTCTGGGAACCATTCCGTTAAAATTAAAGATAGCTGTAAGCCATATCAACGTACGAAATTTACCTTACGTTTACATAGAAGAGAAAACTTTGCAGTGAGGTGTCTCAATTCGTCTTTTTCTGTTACTGCTTTAAAGTTTGTCTTTGTTGTTGAAAAATACATGTGTGTTTATATATCTTTTTAGAATGTTATCTGTTGCATGGAATTTAATTTTACCCATTTCTATTTTATGCGTTTTATGTTTTCTTCCGGCAATTAACAAAACGTAAATCAAATTACAATGTTCTTCTCGTGTGCAGTTGATTCTTATTAGCATCTAGAACAGTCAAGCTTGACATTTTTCAAGGGTGTTTTAATTTTCAGCATTAAATGCATTAAGAAGAAAAAAGCGACTTCCTACGTAAATTGCCTCAAAAACAAATTTGTTTATTTCAGGAAAACAAGAAGCAAAACTGCGCTTTCTGTCCAAGATAGCAACTGCTCCTGAAATAGGATGTTTTCTTCAATAGTAGCTTTCATTCTATTCGTGGGTGCTCATTCCTCATTTTCCAACTATCCATCTCTCAACGGCATTAATCATCACACCCGATCTGAAAACAGTCTGGATGACATGGAACTATCCAGTCGAAAAACACAGCAAAGTAATGAAGTCGTCAATTGTGACATAGAGGCCATCTTCAATGCTGTTCGTCTGAATGAGTTACAACTGTTAATAGAAGCAGTAGCAGAGAGGACGCACATCAGTCCTTTCGCTGTTCTCAGGATGCTGCAGAAAAGAATAAACAGTAATGAGGAAATTGAAGAGGTAGGAGTTGTGTAATCAGATATCTTTCATACTGCAATTTATTTTTGTAAATAAGATATTAACTTTGACTGCAAATAATTCATTTTAGAAACTCGAAGTAATGAGAAAGCTATGTTTAGTAAGTACAACAATATCCCAGTTATTCGGAATCTAAATAATTTTAAGTTCAGTTATCCGGATCTTGTTCTTGTACCTAAAAAATTAAGCTGATATTTAAACTTTTTTTTTTTTTTTTTTTTGTTAAGTAACATAGATAGAACAACGCATATTTGCTAGGAAAATATTTTGTTTTTTGTCTCAATTATATTTAATTTGAATTGGATAAGTATAAATTATGCTTTTTGTTTTAAACAAATGAAAAAAAAAATTATTTGCTTAGCTTTTTTAATATTAATAAAAATAATAACAATTATAATTTCCGATCTGATTTTTTTTTATCTCTTCACAGTAGCAGGGAAAGGAAATAGAAATGGAAAAATTAGAGTTTAACACCTAAAATTTACCACCTGTTTAATAGCTGAGAATTTTCAAACTTTTGCCTATAAAAAAAAGTTGGATTTGAAATTCATAATTTATTAAATAACCACTTAAACTTGCAGTTTTTCCCGAGGAAAAAAAATCTTAACACGAGTTTGGAAGCTGTTAAGTAATTTAAAAGCCGCCCAACTAGTATAGTGGTTAGCGTTGCTGGCTGCAGTGCCGAAGGGCCTGCGTTCGAATCCCGGAAAAGGCATGGATGTTTGTAAATGTATAGTGTCGATGCAGCATGGCCGCACTCTAAATATACGGCGAGCCAAAAGTCCTCCCGTGTGGTTTGGTGGAAGGGAAGAGGGATGGGAGATCCTTGGACCCGTCCCCCCCGGGGTGCTCCCCATCAAAATGGGGAGCACCCTGGGGGACGGAACAGAGCTAAATCGCATTGTCACCTGTAAAGTGTTCAAAGCTGTTGCCAACAACAGGCGTATCTTGCACTTCTTGCCACGAGGAATTTCGTGGGCTTGGGCTGACTATAGATAAGACAAGTGAGCATAAGTAACAACAACAAGTAACCTAAAAAAAGGTGTAAAACTGTTATCCTTCTAAAACTAAAACATAAAGAAAATTGTTGTCATCGGATTTTCATGAAACTTGGTATATACGTCATATGGACTGTAAGAAAAAGATCCAGAAAATCATTTTGTGTGCCTTTGCCATCGTTAATCATGCCCTTACAGAAGAAAGATCGAGTTTTACTGGTAAAACTGTTTTATCAGAACGGAGCAATAGCTTTAGTTGCATTGGCTGAATATCGTCGTTTAAAGGGATTGCGAAAAGGGCCCATGTCGAAGAATGGTTTGAAGAAGATGCTTATGAATTTTATTTATTGCAGAAATCGTTTCCCCATGATCCATATAACATATGTACAAAATTTCACCAAAATTCAACAAGTAGAACAGGTTCTAGAGGGGTCTTAATAGGGTCAGTTTAATTATAACCACCCTGTATCTTATAAATTTATTATTATTAAGAAAGCCATTTGTTAACATTAATTCCGTCGTACAGATTTCAGGTTTTTCAAGCTAGCAGTCGCTAATTTGAGAGATAAATTCAAGATACTATGCAAATGCAGAGGTAAAAACTTCTTATTTTACCAGCACCTGAATGTTTTGCTTAGTAAGTGAAGCAAACTATTCTTCCAGGCAACAAGACATTATCGAATTTTAGAGAGTACGTAGATAAAAATTAATTTTATGTTTTATTTCAGTTGAAATAGAAATAGAAATAGAAAACAGAAATGAAAATAAAAATGTGTTTAGATAAACATAAGTAACAAAAAACAGAAATGTGTTTGAACAAATAAAACATGATTTCCTTCTTTAGTTTTGCGAAAATAATACATGAATTTTGAAAATTTTCCTTTACAGAAATAAAAGTGTTTGCTTAAATGAGCAATTTTTGTTGAAACAAAACATGTTGAACGAAAGCATAACATTCTCTTCCATATTACAGTAAATATGAAGCTGTCCTTCAGAAAAACGTCAATGAAATTATTAAAGTAATTTGTTTGCAAATTTTGGGAACATTCTAGTGAAAAATAGGCGTAATTTAAAATTAAAATTTAAAAAATATATATAATGCCTTTTTACTGAAAATCTATTATTCTATTAAATACATTTAAGTTATGGATAACGATTAATGTTACTTTCAAAGTGAAATTTTTTAACTCCTGCCAGTAAAGGAATTCGTAAAATTTTTATTTACGTGTCAGATTCAACCAAATAATATTAGCAGAAATAAGCACTATGAAAGTCTCATCGCGAAGTCAGACTTTTATCCAAGTCTAAAATTTTTCACAGTTTCAAAACAGTCTATATAAAGGATATTGACGCATGCTCGTTAATAACTGAATTTTCCCAGTTTCCAATGTCACAGATTTCAATATCAAGCAAAATAAATTACGTTTACTTTTTACGAGTGCTGACAGCAAAACCTGCCGCGATACTATAAATATTTTTAGGATAGCGTATGGTGTTAATGCATGTTTTTTTACAATGATAGCTTTTGATGTTATGTATTTTTGAATATATCGATGCTTAACCAGTCTGTTAATCTATTAGTAATTATTTTCAGAGGTGGAACTGGTTGCTTATATTTGAATATATTTCATCACATGCAATATAAGCCAGTTTCTCTCATAAATTCCTCTACAAAGATAACTCCTGTTACTATCTATTCATAAAGACGTTGCGAATTCTCAGCGTATTTACTGTGAGATTTTCATTTAAATTATTTTTCTCATAGAATAACGCCATGTAGTTTTCTAATAAGTTGTGTAAATCTCTATTATATTTAAGCCCATGGTGTAGGGTGGAAAACAACGAGTAAAGAAAAGTTGGGATAAAGCGGGGAAGTGGAGAAATAACAGAACTTGAGGTTGTTGTTTGAGAAACTATCTTTAGATACTTTGAGATACTTAGATACTTTGATGGTGAGATACTTTGAGACCTTAGACACTTTGAGAGTCACTGATGAAGATGAATATATAAATAATATTTATTTTATTGATGAGCATAAATCAAGGTAGTGAAGATAAAAAAGTCTTTTCTCACCGTATGAAGACAAGTATTCTAAGATCGACTTCATTCAAATGGTTGATTTTCATTTGCATGTTCTCTTCGGCATAAATTATTAATCATTTGTTAAGAATCTGGCTTATTGAAGTACAATGCGTCCGTAAAGTCATGGTGCACTTTTGTTCGATCACAGGAAAGCAACAAAACAAAACAGAAATGTGAAATCTTCGCCAAACAAAAGGAAAACTCTCCAAGTTTCCGTAGTATGATGTGCAAGCATGTGCGCACACAGGTGATGATGCAGCACCGCGAAATGCAAAGGAGCAGCTCAGCCCATCCACGCCCACGCCAGTCGAGATGTGAACATACAGAAGAAAGTTCAGTGTGTTCTGTGGCTTGCCAAATTCGAATCCAAGACCAAAGTGCAACGTGAATATCGTCGCGCGTGTACAACGAACCGCCATCACATAGAAATAACATTAATCGGTAGGATAAGCAGTTGAAAGATACCGGCAGTTTGTTGGATAAACCCCATTTTGACAGGCCATCGGTCAGTGGCGAGTCTGTAGAGGCTATATGGAAAAGTTACCTAAGAAGCTCTTACAAGTTGTAGTTGTTGCACGCTATCAAACCAACGGATAGACCCAAGCGATTTGCGTTTGCTACAGATATGCTTCATGAGGTCGGCAATGATAAACGATTGCTGCAGAAGATTGTGTTTAGTGATGAGGCGACATTCCCTTTAGTGAACATATTCATCGCCATAACATCCGAATATGGGCTGCTGAAAATCATCATGCCCAGGAGAGTACGAACGTAACAGCCCTAAAGTTAACATGTGGTATGGCCTGATGCATGATAAAGTGATAGGACCATTTTCCTTTGCGGAGTAGACTATGACGGCATGGATGGAGCCCACATCAAACTGAACAGTATGAAACTTTCAGAGGTTTTCTTTTGTTTGGTGAAGATTTCACATTTCTATCTTGTTTTGTTGCTTTCTTGTGACCGATCAAAAGTGCACCATGACTTTACGGACGCACTATATTTTGAGTAATTACTGTAGATCATATTCTGAGCTCTTTGAACTGACCGAATCATTTAGCCTGTTTGCTTTCAGTTTTTGCTTTTGAGTTGAATGTTAATATTATGCTGTTAGTAACATCTGTAGTTAACAATATTAAAAGGGAATACGTTCAAGGGAATTTGCCCAATAGTCAAGAATAGGGTTTTCCTGTACAGACCACCAAATGAACCCAAAGATGCATGCAAGCCTTATTTCATCTCTCCTTAAAATTAGAAAAAGATTAGCATAGTTGAAAAATGCGAAAACGTACACTAAATAATTAATTAGACATAAAATTAGTTTCTGGTTTCCACACTTCAAAATGATGGCACAATAAGCAACTTGAAATAAACAACCCTTTTAAAACTTAAGAAACTTCCCATTCTATATATTTGTTCGTAATTTTTAAGAAGTTTCAAAGTTATGGATGTACATAAAACTAGCAAGGTTCTGACAGATGCATACTGTAAATCGTGAATTGAAAAATTCGTATTAGAGTAGCACTTGATTATTTAGAGTTTAAAACGAGATTATATTAGAGTCGCAGTCGCATTTGCATACTTCACTGAAGCTCTTCGGTTTTCCTTATTTACTTTAACATACAGTTTAATTTTCTCTATTTGCGTTAATACCGAAACAAAAGAATTTTTCTTTAGCTAAATAACAAAATTTCCCTTTTTAAAAGTGTCTATTTTTAATCATAAAATAATAGCTGTTTATAAAACGGATACTAACTGTGCAATTTGAAGTGCATACGCGAAGCTAAACAAGACGTAAAAACGACGTAAAAAAGAGGGCATTTCATCACAGGTTGCTAGGAAAAAATAAAAAAAAGTGCTGAGAGAAAGTTAGGTTTAATACCGCTTCCCTTTTTATTATTATTTTATATACAATAAAGTTTATAAAGTTTTTAATATATTACTTTGTAAGATTTTATTTATTTTTACAAACAATTATTTTATTTTGTGAGCCTTTCCTGAATTCTCTTATTCCCCTCGCGTTTTCTCTCCGCAATGTAAGAGCATTTAAACTGTTGGAGCGAAACGGTTACGCAGAGCATGATTTCGCTATTGTGAGCGCACTTGTTAGTTTCTTAAAGCTGTTAATCTTAATACCTGCAGTAAATGCGAATGGATAGTTTCGAAATCTAAGCATGATTGTAAAGAGACTATCTTGAATGGCCCCTCCAATACATTGCAAAGAATTTAGCGAAATTCCATATGATGATAAACATGATGCATTAAACACTTCTCAATTTAGTTGTATTTTGAGGGCGATATATCCTAATATGTGGCACATAGTATACTATCCTAGGCTCACCTTTCTCCCTAACCTCAGTCATATGTCCAAGCTCTTTACACTACTCCTTTAAAATAAATCCTGATACAGACTTAAATATTCAGAGTCTTTCGCTAATCGTTTCCATAGTGAAATTAACCTGTCAAGGGCAAAATCTTTTGAATTTCCTAAGCAGCTAATGTATTCATTTAGCTGCACTGGTACAATGTAGCGTCCTTTTTTCATTCCGCCTATGATTTTGCATATAATGTTCAACACATATTTCTGTTTTTTCATTTTGGGGAATGGCTGTTCCAACATTCTATATTTCCCAAAACCTCTTAAGAGTTTGATCTAAATCATTGTCTTTTTGAACGATCCCACAGTGAACTCTGTTACCTTTTACCAATCTCTCAACGGAAACCACAAACCCAAGCACACTTTTTGAGGGATAAGATTTTAATCTTTTATTTTTAACTGCCCCGGTCGTAACAATTCATAGAATACTTCTGCATCCAGGAGCATGTCCACTTGTTCTGGTGTGTAAAATTTATTATCCGCTAACTTAACATTGTTAAACTCCTGAACACAAATGTCATTTTTTTTAGATGGAGTTACATATGTTATTAGTTTCGGAAAAACTAAACAGGTCCAAATTTCTTTCATAAGTTTGCAGAGTTCTTCACTCTTTTTCTACTAAATGAAGGTTGAGGAACCTAGTGAACTGTTAAACGACTTATCGCTGAGTTCAAACAACTAAAACGTACGCTCAAGAAGGGTTAACTACCCTTTAATCCACTCAAAATAAAATGAACAGTTGGCCCCTTTCTTCAGGCTTACAACAAAGCCTCCACTTAAGAGCTTAAAAATAAGAAATAAAAACTAACTATGACTAACTAAGAAATTTAGTCGAAGCTAACGCAATTCTAACGTAGTTGGCCCATAATCTGAACTAGCTGGCGAACTATTAAAAGGCACGTAATATACGGCCGAGCGTAACAGCAGTTAGAGAGGCTTAGCCCAAAGGCAAACGCGCCCTATTACGGATTCGTAGCTCTCTCTCTCTCTCTCTCATGAAGTAAGTGGAACCTTTCCTTAATACTACTTTTAACTCATTTGCATCCAACGCGATTCTAAAATTTCCTTCTGGTAGGGAGTTGTAAGTGGAAACAAGAATCGATAGGAAAGTACGTTTGAAATTAAAATAACTGTTGTAAAATTAAAATATATCTTTCAAGTTTTATCGTGATTGCTTACTGATACATTTACTCTGTATTACACTGTTAAAGATACATGGTTTAAACCTGATGCAATTACATTATTTTTTTCTTTCCTTAATTGCAGTAAAGTTAGACTTCTTATACTTTAATAGGGGAATCTAAGGAATCGAATTTTTTTCATTTTGCTTCGTTTTGACCATTATTATCAGTTTTCATTTTAGCTCGTAATCGAGCATTTCCATTGTTCTTATCTCTCCAGTTTAATTTGTTCTAAATGTAGTTTAATTTGTTCTAAATGTCTTCTTCAGATTTACGATACTCTACTGTAGAATTTCTCAACTCTACTACCAAATTTAGATTGGATTTAAAAAGCTTCACTACTTTTAATCGCTAGACTTAAATCAGCTACAGTTAGCTTTTCACTGAATTCTATATTTAGTTCTAGAGCAAGTAGCTGTAAATCTTCTTTGAGTGCATATTTTATCAACATTATATTCTTAATAAAATACCGCAAGTTAACAATAATAATAATAAATTGTTCTCAAAATACTCTTAACACAGTACATAAATAACATAAATTTTTCTCAAAGCTGTTATACAGCATTTGAATAATAAAATGGCATCTTATTTTGAAATCAGAACTGCTGACTTGTAACTTGGAAGTGGAAGTGACTCAGCTAATCCATAGGCTCTGCTCCTGACAGGCTAAGAAAATTGTACACAGTGGACTGTAATTCAGTTTATTTTCATTAGCTTTACGCAGTTCACGACCATTCGTAGTCATGAATTCTCTCAAACTTTTAGCACATGCAATCTGACATAACAAAATATCAAAGTGCCCAGACGTATTGAGAAGCGCGCACAGACGGAACGGGTGCATTGTCTTAATTCAGGATGATTCTTTTCTTAATTTTCTCTGGCATCTTCTTTTGCATATCATCTTTCAGTTTGTGTATCAGATTGGCATGGTAAAGGGGGGACCGGAAAGTAATGTCGTTTCTGTGCATGTTGACAACAACATGCTAAGGGCAGAAGTGGAAGCAAATCTATGTCAAACACTCTTAACCAACCTTGGTCGACCATCCAAGAACATTTAAAGCAGAATGGAAAAATAAACAAAGCAAGTGTTTCAGTCCCCCATAATCTGTCCGAAAAGTACAAAGTCAACCTATCCATCACATGCAACGTATTGCTTCAACGGCACTATACAGAACCGTTTTTTGATCGTTTGATTAGTGGAGACAAAAAAAATAAGTCCTATATGATAATCCAAAACTCAAAAGGCAGTTTTAATAGGGGTTACAAAGGGTTTACATCCCAAAAAGACGCTTCTGTGTGTTTGGTGGAGTATTCTCGGAATTGTTCATTTTGAATTGCTGAAATCTGGACAAACTGTTAATGCACATCTTTATTGTGAACAATTGGCTCGAGTAAACCAATCTTTAATCGAAAAATATCTATCGATTGTCAATGGAAAAGGCGTCATTCTGCAACACGACAATGCAAGACCGCACTGTGCAAGACGAACACTGGAAAAATATAATGAATTGAGGTGGGAGATATTGCCTCACCCACCATACTCGCCCGATATTGCACCCTCGGATTTCCATTTATTCCGATCCCTACAACATTTTCTTAGTGACAAAAAATTTGAAAATTTGGATGATGTCCAAAATGCCATCTCGAGATATTTTACTCAAAAACCAATTGATTTTTATCGGTCTGGGATTTAAATCGGCATACTAGATGGCAAAAGGTTGCTGATTATAAGGGTGATTACATTATTGATTAAAAAAAACTTGTTACAAATTTATTCGTTTGAATTTAATGTAAGAAAGCGACATTACTTTCCGGTCCCCCTATTATTTCGCGTTACTAGTGAAGCCTTTCATCACAAGATCAGACACAATCAACCCTTCTTTCCCCCTTCGTTTTCAAAGTTCCTTTCTATTTTTGTTATAGGATAAAGTTTTGAGACTAGTCAAGACGATATATTGTTCAAGGACAGTTCCTGATGCATGATGCATCACACACATTTGAACGATATCTGCAATAATTCACAGTAATTTTATAATTATCCATGATCATACCCAGCGCAGAAGTGATATGCTTCCTGTACTGTTGCCGTCATTGGACATCACTTGGTTCACCCAAATGCCTTCGTGTCCACGTTTAAAGTCTACGACTTCAGATGATGAAACTTCATTTCCTTTCGTCTGAAGCATATCAAATTTCTGCTGAATAGAGGTGTCAAATCACAGCCTCTTCAGCCACTTTCTTCTCTGACACTTCATTCACTTGAAAAAGCCTTGAAACAAAAACAGAGAAAAAAAAACATGTTAATGTCATGAAACTTCCGGCAGTATGTCATACAGTTCTAACTTGAAATCTTGAAAAATTTTAACAGCCCAGCCCCATATCTTCCCTCTGAGGTTCAAAACTTTTCCTCCTTCCTATGTAGTTTTTAAGTTACTTTATCCATTATCTTACTTTGCTTGTTTTCAAAATCCAATTTCATCCTTTTATACTGCTGAAATTCGACGTAGTTAAAGAATGTTAATCTTTGTTAATTTCAAACGTCCATTTATCTAGAGTTTAATTTAGTTTTGTAGAACTTTAAATAATTAGATTTATATAGGTTCTTTAAACTGTGTATCTATGTTTAAGAAAGTGTATGACTTCATTAGGACCTTATAAAATTGATTTTTTTTAAGTATTTGCAACTTTTTGAGTTCACCGTTGGCAATGAGTAAATTCATTAAGTGTACGTTTTAATTTAATTAATCACAGTTACGTTTCAGTGTTACGTTTTTTCTTTTTTAAATTTATTCTTATCTTTCTAATTTCAGTTCTTATTCAACAAAAATGAACTCCTTCTTTACAACACCAACAGTTTTTAATAGTAAATCAAAGAATGGTATAAACTCAATCGTGTATTAACGCAATTGAGAAATTTTCTTGCTTTATTTGCTTATCAGAGAATTTATTATGTATTCATTATTAAAATAATAACGCAAGACAAGCGAACCATTCAAATAATGGTTTATCGATAATAGTCGATTCCAGTTCAGATAAAATTTCTGCAAATCAAACAGAACAAATGAAGTGAAAGTATTATAAACAGCTATGGAAATATGCATGGAAGAAACAGGCGTGTGTTAACATATAATTTAGGCAAAATAATAATAACCCGTTCGACACCTGCTTGTTTCCCGGTGAACGAACAGGTCAGCTGAGGAGTTTTCGTGGTTTCTTTATGTGTTAAGAGGTTATCACACTTGGCTACAGTCCCTGCTAGACGGGACTTTTTTGAGAAATGAGATTCTGGTAGCACTGGTTTTGAACGAGAGGATTTCTAGAAAAAAGATCTCCTCCTGAAGCGAAGTCCCGCCTAGCCACGGAAACGATGTTGGGAGTACGCGGGATTTTTTTCGAACCTCACTGAAAATGTCTCGGCTGGACCTCTGTCCCGGGTAGAGACAACCAATCAGACGAAAGTTCTGCTTCTGAAGCATAACGTGATCCCAATCTGAGCGATAATCGATTAGTGTTTGGCGTTCAGGTCTTTGTAGTAAGTGAAAATGGTAACCTAGCTACGTGGGTTTTCTAGAATTGCGCGGGTTCTCAGAATTGTCCCTTTCGACGTCAAGTCCCGCGTAGCCGAAACATAATGTGATTGGGACCTAACGCGAAAGTGAACAATTCTCCTTTAAGAAGTCCTCCGCGAAGTCATCTCTCTCCCTAAGCAGATAGTTCTAGTGTGCTTTGCTATAATCCACTCCTGTCGAATTATTCTTTTAAACAAACAGGTTCTTAGCAGAACTTTTTTCTCCTTCTTGAAGATGACCTATGTTAGTCGCTCTCGAAATGGATGGAATTTCACATAAAATCTATATCAGTCTTAGGGCGCTTTTTTACCTCTATTTTTATAAATTAAGCGAAATTTTTTAACGTTTCAGCTGGTTTTTTTTTTTAATTTTTATGAGTATTATATATATAGTTTACCTTACCCATAGCCCATATATAGCTTACCTAACATTATGTAACATCTCAGTCACGTCTACGTTTATTTACTTAATGTGGAAAATATTAATTTGCAATCCGGAATTCAAAACAGTAACATTTCACGCGCACTTGAAAACACCAAGCCAAAATTTTATCATAATAACATTACATTTTCTACATAATTTTCTTTCAATAATATACCTACTCTTAATAGAATGCCAGCACTTCACATCAGTTTCTAATCAACTGAGTGGCCAAGATTATAACATCGGAAGAGCAGCTGGAAAATTTTCATCAAAATACGAACTAATTTTCCAGATATGGTCAAATTTTCTAGCATATAGCTAGCAAAATCTTAATGCCCCTGCAAACAGCCAAATAAATATACACGATCTATTCATTAATGTCTTGCACATTTTCAGATTGAATTTTAAGTATTTGCTATTTTATACATTTTAAAGAAATATTTAATAGATAGTTTTATTAATTCCTACTTTTAAAGTTCATGAAAATCACAAAAAAAGGGAAAATTTAAAAAATGGTTTGTCTTTACATAGACAGACTATAACACGAAATGATACCATAGGATTTGGCATAATGTTAGTTACACGACTTTTTCTGATTTAAGACATATATGCAGCTGCAGGCAAATAACCTCTATCAGAAAAACTTGTCTTACTATATAAGAGTTCAAAATCTTCACTGACGATGTCGAAATCGTCTCGCCTGAGCATTCCGGATAACAGCCAAAGAAAGTCTATGTAAAGAAGGAAAGGCTCCATATCCGTAATGTGAACCAGTTTGTCTTCTACGCCGCTAGAAAAAAGAGGGACGATTCGCCAAGGGATTTGGCGACGGAGCCTGTTGGCGAGAATTTCCCCTTTTGGGGTGTACCTGGCCGAGATTTTCCACCTCCGCCACGTGTACAGGAAATTGAGGAACACGGGTTAAGATGAATCGTTCTTTGACTTTTCGCGATAATTTAAACTCGAATTTTCGTGCTTTTTTGCTTTACTAGTTGAACTTGTATTATCCATATTGCAGTTTGATGTCTGATTTTATATCTGTCAATATGTAGGGGGGATGGAGTCACACAGCTTTAAACTCTTGATAAACGTGACCATCGAACCTGTTCGAACTTCGACATCAGCTTCGAGCTTTGGCGCTTTTTGGCAACAGATATTTCACCCATGCGCAGTTGTGTCCCTTTTCGTTCGGAAGGAGCCACTCCTGCTGCTGCGAAGCTTTCCTTCAACAATACATATTCTTTGTAACAGCCATGTAGTCTAACCACAACAGAGACGGATGGGGCTAGCCTCACCAGCGCGGTCAGCTGCGAAAAGATGCAGGCACCTTTTTTCTCATTGATCATTGTTCACTAAGACACAAAGCGCCCCCACATAGAGACACAATAATGGAGAGCAACCCTTATGAAGTTCAACATATATCACGAAGAATATCTTCAACAAGATGCCGGGACTACCATGTGAAGATCTTTATCTCTATCCTCAATTACTTGCATAAAAGTGCTGCATCTTTATGACACGGTGTCGTGATTAAAATGTCGGAATGTTTGACATGAAAATTCATTTCTTTTGAGCTATCGAGTAAAGAATTACATCCGAAAGTTACGAATTTTCAACTAACTAACGACATTAAGACGATTGGTTTAGTACGTTTAGCATCAATATATGTTTTTAGAGATGTGCCGTTAAATAGCTTTTTTTTTTCAATGAGTATTTTTTTCCCCTCCATAAAGTCTACAATTACGATTAATGTTTCATCTGCTTTTTAAAGTAACTATATCAGGTGATGGCAAGACGTTATGGCCACCGGCACATCAGGAATTTTTCCGAATTCCCATCAGCCCCACCCTCCCGTGAACTGAACACCAGGAATATGTCCGCCGAAAATATCGCGGCAAAACGCGGACGAAAACGTCACGGAGCAAACAGCGCAAGACGAAAACATCGCCATACAAAAAACATCGTGGGAAAAAGGAAAGCAAGAAAATATCGTGGTGTAAATCATCGTCGTTCAAAATAAAGAGTTTAAAAAACATCGCAATTTTAAAAAGCAGTCGCAAAAAATATCGTGCTAAAAAATAAAGCACCTACAAATCATCGCATGACGATAATACCGCAGACATGCGTTTCTCAGGCTTTAAAAGTTCTCTATTCGCATAATGAACTGTGAGCGCAAGAAGGTAGAAATATTTTTACTTCTATATTTCATATTTTTGGATTAGTTGATAAGTTTTTGTTGAAAAAGCAAAAAGGAAACATAAGCATTCAGAAACTAAAAATGAGTAGAAAATTAATTCTACATATAACAGTTAACATAATTTTAAATTTATGTACTTAACTATTAAAAGTCATTATTTAATTAATCTCTTTTATGATATTCTAGTGGCAGTTTTTGACGAAAAATGTAGAGGAAAGATGAGTCACTGCATGAGGTTACCTATATTAAAATTGTTTAATTAATTATCAAATTGTAAAATTATTTACTTTCACTTTGTTAATCAGATTCTCTTTTAATAAAAATAAATCTTATTTTGTTTCATTTCGTTAAATAACTAAAATATAGATTGTAAGGATCTTAAGTTTTACTAACGTTTATTTTATTTTAAATCTTTACTATCACTTCTTATTTTCTACTTCCGGCCAGAATTAAAAGCTTTAACTTATTTATGCAAATTTGTCTTGCGAACGCCAAGTACTTAAGTTCTGGCTTTTTGCCAACCGAGAGAGAGGAAGGAGTTAGTAGAAGCAGGCCGCTTGCCTTAGCAGTTTTACTCGGTTGCTGGTTGCCTTCAAAGCTAGAGGTTTAATCCTCTTGATAATTTTAAACGTATCGTAGTGTTAACAGTTCTCTGTACTACATACGGCCTTTCTGTTAATATAAGGCCAATCTTCGAGTAGACACTTGTTTATTAATCCAAAGTTAGTTTAGTTAGAATTTAGTTAATATTTTTATATTCTTACGTTCAGACCACAACTGGTTGGTCTCCGTATTCCGAAGTCCGGAAATCATTGTAAAGAGAGAAAAATAAAGGGTTTCGTATACCCTTCCTGTGTATCTTGTCTACTTCCTACATTTATTGAACATAGCTTTAGTAAGCTCCCTGTTCCGAGTCAGGTCATTTAAATGTTCCCAAGAAAGTAAAGTAAGAGGAACACTGAACCTGATAGTGGCGCCCCAACGAAGAAGAATAACCATGGCAGAGTTTCAAGAAGAACCTGTGCTGCCTGCAGAAGCGGCTCAAAATCCAGAAATGCCAGCTGCCGCCCTGGAAGGATT